CCCCAAAACCCCAAAACCCCACAAGCAGGAGTTGAGTTAAGAATTGAAAAATGGAATAATAATAATAGATATTTAACGGGTAAATAAATTTTAAAAATGCAGTAATAATAGTTGTAAAACTAACAACAGCTGCCTTAATAAGCTAAACCCCAAAAAAGAGTGGGATTCAAAATAGATTGCAACAATAACCCTGAGGAAAATGTACTGAATAACAACAGGATGAAGGTGAAAACTAAAGTAAAGGCTTAAGATATTTGAAAGGAGGTACTAGGAAAATAAAATTAAGGACAAATTAGTGCTAAAAACTAGAGATAATCAGATATTCGATTGGAAAATCATTAGAATGATTTGAAAAAAGAACTTACAACATTTATGAATCAGCAGAGTAAAAGAGTGCTGAGTCCCAACTTGAATGCTTACTCATATGGCACTCTTGGTTATTAAAGTGAGAACACCTCTTCTTAAAAAAGTCTCTCCACTATAAATAAAGCCACATTAGATTATCTTAAATCTGAATAAAACACTGTGTCTAATAATAATCCTCACACTTTCAAGCCTTAAGACTCACGAATCATGAACTACAAAGAACGAGCTAAAGTAAACTAACCTGATTATAAAACAAATCTAGGTAAAATCAGCAAGGATGGCAAGTTGACACCTCTGAGTATAATCCCGTCATCTCTAGACATGAATAACGACTCTAGCTACTCAGTGTCTCCAATTGGCGTCTATCAAAGCTAAAACAGTAACAACAATAAATAGTAACAGCAAGTAAATATCTATCAAACTCATTCTGGATTTTCACAACCAATGGAGTTCAGTCCAGCATCACTGCTTACAAACACCAACACTAGTCTCAGTCCAACTAAGCAAATGATCATGAATAAAAACTAAGTACCCAGGAAAAATGATGTGCAGCTATCTCAATAGCAGATAAGCAATCAAAGTAGCAAAAACAACACATTTAGCAAGATAAGCCTTAATCAATAAAAGGAATATTAGAAGCAGCAGCAATAATATCTAGAAGCAAATATTAACAGCAATAACAATAAGATTGTAATAGATCTGGGTGAGGATGAAGATGAGCCAACTGAAATTCTATAATATGGAATAAAGAATAATGAAGATCAGCAGTAATATGCTTAAAAGTCTAGTTCCTCTAATAATCACTCGAAGTCTAATAACTACAACTTTGATGATCAAGAGGATTCCTCATTCGACTCTGATAACTGCAACTTCAATGACGATCTCCTGGAGGAAACCAACAAAGGTAACATAAATAGATATTCAAGAGGCTTTGGGAATGAGTCGCTGCATAATAACACTACCATTCTTATTAACCAAGCCAACAAGATCATTGACCAGCATTACTCTACAATTTAAACCTAGCAAAAGCAGTCTAACACGCCCAACCGTGATGTTTTGCCAATGAGAAGCTAGAAGGAAAATCAAGTGAGCAGTAAGGCGGCCAGTAATGCCACAACTAGCGTATAGCAGTCGGCTAAGAAATTCAAGGGAAACTATAAGAAAGCACTCAACAATTTAAAACAGTAAAATAGATCTAAAAGTAACAAAAAGCTTAAGGAAAACAATCAGAATATGGTATCAACACTAAGTCCAAAGAATACTACTAATAAGAGTAAAGGTCTGCCAAGTAAGATACCCTCTCAGATGCAAAGCAAGTGTGAGACTAAAGCTTTAAACTCAAGGATAAATTCAAAGCGTCAGAGTATCAACTATTAAGACAATTCCAAGTTGAACACTGGTGGTAGGACTGTGAGTCAAAGTCCAGAGAAATAAGAAGATGAAATTGAATCATAGTTCTGCAAGAAGTACTCTCGAATAAAGGTAAATGAAGAAGATGTGTTTAAGCGTTAATAGTTCGAGAGTTACAAACGCTTGACTAAGGAAATCAGAGTGGAGAAGTTCAAGACGTCAATCAGTCCTTGCAAGGAAACCCTAAGCCCCAGGCAAAAGAAGGAATGCTTTGATAGATTATCATAAGACGCGGATAGACGTATTTTTACAACTAAGCATGATGTTCAAGGCAACTAGACTAATAGAAGTAATCAATACAGATCTCAGCATTCAAGCTAGACCAGAGGCTAGGATAAGAATACGGATGATTCACTGTTCAGAGATGAATCATCGGCCAAGCGAAAGCAGAGAAGAATGAGTGCCAAGAGAGCTTAGAAGTTGTATTAATAGAAAGTGATTGAGTATGAAGAGATGAAGCAGCAAAAGCTGAGAAAACTAGAGCAAGACGTGAAGTTAAAGGAGCTAGAGGACTACTTTGGCAAGTACCAAAAGGAGAAGATCAATAAAGTACTCAGTAAGGAAGTTATTTCAGAGCAAGAGGCTGAGAAGATCTATCAACGTCAGTGGAAAGATCACTAGCGTCGACTCGAGAAGTAAAAGATCTTGAAAGAGCAGCAGTAACTGATTGAGAAAGAACAACTAAGCAGGATGTTCAAACCATAGCTGGATAAATCTGAGAGGTCGTTTCACTTGCTTAAAAGTAGCAAGAAAAAAATCTAACAGAGATTGTCCATTAGTCCAGGCAAAGTAGGACTACCTATGGAATTGGGTGAAAATTCTAAGGGGTAGAAGAATGGTATTGAGAGGAATCAAAATGCATAATCTGTGAAGAAGTTGTACGCTAATGATCCAAATTCACTAGATTTGCTCAGTAGTTATGACAACACAAAATCATCATTAGCAGGTGACTAGATTATAACCTCTTTTGATAAGATAAATACTCCAACTATCATGAAGAATAATAAATAACACGCCAATTAGACTTCTACTCTTTACAACTATGAGGCAATGAAAAATTTGAAGAAGCAGAAATCAGCAAACTCTCTAAGCAAGAGTGGTAGCAATCAAAGACACAGTTCTGAGAAGAGATTTGCTAATAATACAACCACTGGCATACTAACCTACGACTAGGATAGCCAGTATTATAATAATGGTGCTATCGGCATTAGAGGTAACTTCAGTTAGTAAAATCTAAAATCAATTTCAAAGACTTCTGGAATAGGTAATACTTCTTCTATTCACAGCAACTAAACTCTGAGTACTAATAACTACAACAACAACGGGAGACCAACACTTGTGGACAAACTCATAGACTAAAGAATCTCAAAGGTGACTATGAAACTAGACCAGGTGATCTAGGAAATCAACATCAAGAAAAATTAACTAGAAAGCACCAATAGAAACCAATAGCTCCCAGGCTTGTAGTTAAATAGAGATCATAGTAGCAATCCTGAGCTGCAGTCATAACAATAATTCTACAATACTCATCACATGATCCATCTGAATACTAGTGATGACGATGTGGAATCCATCAGCTATCAGTCTATGAGTCAGACTAATAGTCACTAATCTAGTAAGAATAAATAGGACAAGCAATACATGCACATGAATACAAATAAATACAGAAGAGCCAATAAGACCTTGTAGAGTCAGTTAGATGATATGGCCTCTGGTGGCTTGATTACTTTAAATACCTTTAGTAACCCTGGATATGCCTCAGCTGTATAAAACAACAAGCAAAATAATAATTAGTAAAAGATATTCATTTATGAAAGTCAGCAATAGAATGAGATCAGGGATGAGGATGTAGAGTAGGAATCATATGAACATGAATTCAGATTGAGAAGGACCTCACTTTGAAAATAAATCAATAGTATAGATAAATGAACAATATACAAATTTAATTATGCTATAGTTATCTGATTTAGATAATCATATTAATTTTCTAAGATATTATTAGTTCATAAATTTAAATCATTGCACTAAGTTTAATTTAAATAATTTATCCTGATGGGGTTTTGGGGTTTTGGGGTTTTGGGG